TAAGAACAAAGCAAAAACTGAAGGAACAAAACAGCAGCAGACTCACAGAACCCAAGAATGGACTGACAGTGACCAAAGGGAAAGGGACTGGGGAGGGTAGGTGGGAAGGGAGGGAGAAGGGGAATAAAGGGCATTACAATTAGCACACATAATGTAGGTGGGGGGCACGGGGAAGGCAGTATAGCACAGAGAAGACAAGTAGTGACTCCAGAGCATCTTACTATGCTGATGGACAGTGACTGTAATTGGGTATGTTTTGGGGATTTGATAATGGGGGGAATCTAGTAACCACAATGTTGCTCAGGTAATTGCATATTAATGATACCAAAATAAAAAATAAAAAAAGACCTTATTAAAAAAATATATACAATGCTTAGAAACAAATTTAACAAAAGAACGGGAAAGCTAGTACCTGAATACTACAAAACACTGCTGAGAGAAGTTTTTAAATATCTTAGGGAAAAAAAAAGTGCAGGGAAACATTTCATGTTCATGGGCTAAAAGACTCAATATTGTTAACATGGAAATTATCTCCAAATTGTACCTCAGATTCCATACATTATCTATCAAAACCCTTGAAAGTTTTTTTGTATAAATTGGCAAGCTGATTCCAAAACATATGTAGAAATTCAAAGAAGCCAGAATAGCAAAAGCAATTGTGAAAAAGAACAAAGTTGGAGAACCTCCACAACCTGGATTTCAAATTACTAAGGCTACAGCAATTAAGAAAATGGTACTGGCATTAAGAGAGGCATAAAAATCAATGGACAGAATTGAGAATCCAGAAATAAATCCATACATTTATGTTCAGTCAGTTTTGAACAATACTGTCAAGGCTATTCAACAGGGAAAGAATTCTTTTCAACATATGGCACTGGGAGAAAATGGATATCTACATAGAAAAAGATCAATTTATATTCCCTAACCTCACATCATACATACAAATTAACTTTAGATGGATCACAGACTTAAATGAAAAAGCTATTATTATAAAGTATTAATAAGAAAACACAGCAGAAAATCTTTATGACTATGGGTTAGTTAGGCAGAGAGTTCTCCTGGCCAGCCCAGAGTCAGTGTAAGAGAAATCAGATCCTAGGTCTTGGTGAAGTGTGAAAGGGATGGGATGCCCGGTACTGCTGCAGATGTCTTTGGAAAACAGAGTATGTGCTACTTGACCAGTACTCTCTGGTCCACATCGACTGACCACCAAGACATTAAAAACCTCTCCTTACTCTTGTCATAGCCACAATTTTATAGTCATTCAGACAAATAGTTGATGTGTATTTTTCTCTACTGCTATATTTCAACTCCAAAAGGGCAGGGACCAGGTGTTTACATGTGTCTATCACAGAGAAAACACTCAAAAACTTTGTTTTTAAACTAAATAAATACAAATACTCATTTTGATATTCATATTGATTAAGAGAACTACAGAAAATTTAACCATTTCAGTTGTCAAGTAAAGTACTTAATAAAATCCCATGTCCTGGTTTTTCCAAGGCAATCAGGATTTAAAATATCCTTTCCTGTAAATACAACAGTTTTCCTCCCAGATAACATGGACATGAAACATGCTGCAGCATGTAAGTCAATCTACTAAACCGACCTGGGATCACTGAGGGCAGCTTTATCCCAGACAGCTACTTGGCGGATGTGACAGCTTCTTCAAAATAAATTATCTAAAGACCCAAAATGTTGTTTTAGTTTTATTCTTTTTAATCTGGAACATGCAAATTATATAAAAAGCCTAAATTAACTTTTATAATAATAGAGGCAGGGCAACATTATCTTTAAATTATCACATTCTTAGTGACATCAAGGTACTGAAAAAGGGTTAAAAAAGACTAGCAGTGTTAACAAAACATCACACACCTGGCAGAAGCCAGCTAATACCCTGCAGAGTGCCTTCCTTCCCTCGCTGTGCTCCTTATGCTTGTAACTGTCAATGTCAACAGCGTGCTGTTCTGAAATCATCTGCTCACGCTTCTCCCCTCTTCTGAACTACATATTCCTAGAAGGTAGGGCTGCTTTTACTCACTTTGCATGCCTAACACAACGCATGGTGCTTGGTACACGGAAGGTACCACTGAGTCTGTGTTGGAGAACGATGAAAATTTGTGAGGTGACTTTAGTGCCACAGAAAAGCTTAGGACCTGGAGTCCCAAAACTTGAACTAGTGATTGTGTTCTTCAACTTTCCTAGACCAGCAACCTCAGCAGTTTTGTCTGACCTCTTTAAGAATCCTTCTGCCTCATATATAGAAAAGGACTAACGCCAAGTAGTTCACAGGGACACTAACAGATACGGTGTAATACAAATAATAATTACTGACAAAAATTATCAAACATTAAAATAAAGGAAGGACTTTAAAACACAAATGAACTATCAAGAAAAACCATACTAACAGGAATAAGGAACTTTTTGATTTCTTCTAACGCATGTCCCATCCGGGCGTATGCTTCTGCTGGCGGGGCAAAAACTTCAATGAGAACATGGAGGTCATCGTTGAGGTGGAAGTACTTTGCTTCTCCACTTTTCCTCAACTCTTCTTCCTGGAGAAAGAAAAACCATGTTCAAAAATGTGTCATCATAAGAAGAGAAATAGAAAGAAAAACTACCCAGAGTTTATTTAGCATGAGGTTGTCCCAGAAGATGCTCTCAACAGCAACCACCACCCTAAGGTTCAAGAAGGTTAGAAATACGACTATGATCCTGCTGTTGTCAGGCTTCTGTGAAACTGCAAAGGCCTCCTGCTGCTGCAGTGAGTCTCCACTCGCACCCTGCAGCACCGCTGGCTTCTCACACGGCCTCCTGTCTCTGCTGCTCAACACCCCCAGGCCCGCACACACCCCCGCCATGCTCACGTCTCCCTGTCAGGTTGCCACAGAGCATTCACCACTACTAAAATACCTGCAGTGCCTTATTTTACTTGCCTGTTTTCTAGTTTTTCTCACTGAAGGTGATTGGCATGGAGCAGAAAAGATGACTGCCCTGTTTGACACTATATCCCCTTGTCTAAGAAAGTGCTTGTATATAGTAGATGCTCAACAAATATTTTTGAATGGATAAGCATTATTTATTCATTTCTGTGTTTATTTGCTCATTCATATATTCATTGAAAAAACATTTCTACATGCCAGGTGCTATATTTCAGGATAAAAGAGTGAATAAAACAAATGAAAGATTTTATTACATGATTTTACATAATTGTGATAAACATTAAAAAAATTTTACTTGGTTTAAATGAAATTCAGGGGGTGAAATTAAGAGGAAAATAATCCAGATCATCAAGGGATAACTGATTTTGCCCCATTATCTTTTCTTAACTACCTTTCATTAGAGCAGCAACTACAGACTCTGGGTCTTTAATAGGCTTGGTTTCCAACATTAAAATCAGACAGGAGGAACCTACTTCTACAGTGCGTTCCAACGGGTAGGAAACCTTCCTAGCTTCTCTAAAACACCTGTCTCATAAGGAAGAGAATCTCAGGAATTCCAGGCAACCCCACCTTTAATTCCACCTGAGCCAAGAGGCCAGGAGGCACAAACACCCTTGACTTCAACCTTTAAGGTCAACTTTTGTTACTAATTTGAACTCTTACAAAGTAAAGAGAGATCGACATCCAGAGCACGGAAAGGGCAAAGGACTTAGTCAGACAGACTGAACCTCAGCTCCGCTGGTGGCCAGGCGTGTGAGTGTGGACAGAGATGTAATCCAACACTTAATTTGCAAGATCAACTTGGTGTTAACATATGATATCAATGCAGCCCACTGGGAAGACCAGCTGCACGTAGGTAAGGGCCTGACACTGGAGGCAGGGCACGCGCCGCCCACACACTGCTTTACAAGTGGTGCCCACTCAACAACACCAGTTCCCTTCTCATTTATGGGAGGCAATCAGAAACCGAAGGAAAAGAAGGATTTGAAGGGAGAGCAAATATAAGCTGCCATAATATGTTTTATGCATTTCCATCAGGATTTCTCAAACATAAAAGGCACTATTCATTGCTTTCATGCCAACTGTAAACTATTGATTGTTCTAATCAGAACATTTTCAGTCATTTGAACTGATTTTTCTGCCTTTTATAGCTGAAGTTTAAAAAACCAGATTCTATGCAGAGTAGTTTGTTTTTGAAGATACAATTACTGAAATAAACATTTCACACCTTTTTCTAACATGGTTCCAAACTAATGATTTTAATGAGAGTTGTAATTGTTGATTTATAGTCAAGCATTTTCATTTCTATCACAAACTTAAACTGGAACAGGATAGATTTCTCATTATAACCATAGCTGTCACACAATTCCATAGAGTAAGTAATTACCAAATCATTTCCTGGGTTAATGATGAGAGGCAAAGTGGTGTTGGGAGAAGAACACAGGTTTTGTTGGAAATCTACATTCAAATTCTTTTGAATGTAGTCCAATATTTACTGTATGACTTTGGGCAGGTTACTTTATATTAATCTTGAAGGGGTGATTTTAAATGGGGATAAGAACAGTATAAGATCTACTGCTCAAAGGGTTGTTGTAGTATTAACGGAGTTACTATAATAGTAATTAGGAGTTATTGGCAATAAAAGAGTCATAGCAAGAAAGGAGTTTTGTGTATAAAGACAGTCTTTAGAATTTTACTTAGCACATGACAAGTACCCAATAAATAATGAGTTCAGTAATGCTAACTATCATCACAGTAAAATTATTATATAACTCTAGTATTAGTTATCCCATTACTCTATAGTATAGATGATGTAAGCAAAACATCTAACTTGTTTGACACAAACTGAAGGCTCAACAGACCCCAGCGTGGTAGTGACTGTCATGCTACCAGCCAGCGGATGATCAGCAATGACTCCCATAACTTCATCTATGCAGCAAACACAAGAAGAAAATGAACTACGCTCACATTAGAATTTAAATAGTGAATACTTTGAAAATCTAAAAGGATGAGATTTTAATACTAAGTACTGGAAGTCTCTTTAGAAATAAATATGTTGTTAACTGAGAATTTCTGTAGACTAAAATTAAACTAGTAAAAAGGATCAAATGAAATCAGTATTCAAGTGTTCAGGCAGTGGGGCTCTAATACAATGTAACAGATGAGATACCAGTACAGTCAACCACTGAACAACACAGGACTCAGGGACACCAACTTAGCGCACAGTTGAACATCCACATATAATTTTGACTTCGCTAAAACTTAACTACTAAGAGCCTGTTCACTAGAATTCTTTCTGATATCATAAACAATTGATTAACACACATTTTGTATGTGATACATATATATTTGTAGATTACATACTGCATTCTTACAACAAAATAAACTAGAGAAAAGTAAATGTTTTTTTCATATTGCTGCAAATCTCCAGAAAATTTTTTCAATATACTTATTGAAAAAAATTCATGCATAAGTGGACTCCATAGTTCAAACCCATGTTGTTCAAAGGTTGACTGTAGTATCCATTTAAACAGCAAAACCTGTTATGTGAATTATCATGTGTACTCACCACCACTGAAATACTTTTGTAGGTGTAACAATGGGCCATGAGTAAGAGCCAACAGCATAGCACGATGGCAAGGGGAAGGCAAAGCAGGTGGGGTGGATGAAATGGGCTGTTTCACACTGTACTGAAGAGTTTAGAAACGCAAATGACAGACTCAGGATTTTACATTACCAGTTCAAGGCCTAAAGAGCCAGAAGTGCCCTAGAAGGTTTCCCTACTCAGGCCGCAGGCTGGTGCAGCCAAAGGCAGAGGCAGGGTCCAAGCCCGTGTGCCGCTGGAGGGCGGTACAGCCCGCCCAGCCATCCCGCCCACGAGAGCCAGGACCATGTCTGGAGAAGAGTGAGAATCTGAGAATTGGGTCAGAACATGTGGGAGGATACAAACAACTCGTGGCTATCTAAAAGCTGAACTCTGCTGAGCCCCCCACCCTGGCAGAAGCCTTCTGTAGGCTTTCCCTTCCTTGTTTCAATAGTCAAGGTAGTTCCTGGAAAGGAGATGCCAACTCTCATGTTACTACTGCCACCCTCTGCCCCTTCCGGGCCTGTGGGCAGTTCCCTGCTTGCCCCAGGGAAGCAGAGAAAAGAGAGGGGAGTTAAAGCCAGAGGAGACTGCATGCACACAGTAACTGCACCTTTCTCCTGGTCTGTCCAACAAGGACCTGTGACCTTTCAGTACAGGTGGTACGCTGAGAGGATTAGCAGACTCTGAGCGAATGCTGCTCCTCTGACGGCCATGGATGAGAGTGTGATTTATGGGGTACAGGGATACAGGACTTCTGGCCTAGTCCCCGACAGTAGACTCAGTGGACTATAAACCCCCAAGGATGTTACCTTCCCGTCCCTGCATCTATTGATGCAATGTAAATATCAACCATTTGCAGAATCCACATACTGATTTGCTGACCCATGCGGTCAAGGGCATAGAAATCAACGAATTAGTGAATTCTTTGATAACTGAACATTTATCAAACACTAGACACTTTGGTAAGTGGTCTAGGAAAGAGGCCCAAGTGTGTATGAACAGAGTCCCCATGCAACACAGCAGGCACCCAGCAACCAGGTGGCCAAGGTGACCCACTCCCAGCCACTGCAGTGCCTCTCAAGGGACCAAGGGTCTATGTGACAGAGAGAGAGGTTACAGATTACCTCACAACACAGATTCCCCTCAAAAAGGACCCCTGGCTACTGCCATGCTGTGTCCAATATGCCAACAGCAAAGAACAACTGCCAGCCCTTAAATGGCAACGTCATCTGGAAACACCATCAGCCCTTTGGGCAAGCTCATAATATTTAGGGTCCCTTTCATTATATGGACACCAGGTACTTGCTATTACGTGGACACCTCACCTTCTGCCTGCACTATCTGTGGATGCTCTGGCCACTGCCACAAGGTGCCACAAAACGTCACTTCTGCCGGAGAACTCCCCTAACATCAGACAAAATAAGTAGCACTGTGTTGATGGGTCTAACTAGCATAGCAGGTGCCTCATGAGCCTCATTACCACACGGCCTTACTGAAGACAGTTCAGATACCAGCGAGGGTGGGCTACTTTCCTACAAGGTAACACACAGCTTCCAACCACCTGAATAATATATGGTTCCATTTCCTCCTACTGCCAGAATAGACAGGGAATCAAAGTAACATCTTTTGAGACAGCAATGCTTAGTGGGCAGTTAACTTAACCTGGCCATGCATTAGAATCATTTTAAACACTCAGCAGAAAATTCATTTTGGGAATGCACTCTGAACAGGTTAGGCATAGGAATATGGATTTTTCAGTAGCCCATGTGAGTCTCATATGCAGCCATGTTTTAATCAAACAACATAAAAATTCACCTGATTAATCCAGGTAACATGCATAGGTCCTCTGAATCTCAGTTTTGTAACATGTAGAACAAGGAAAATATTATGTCTCTTGCATCATTTTTCCAAGGAGAGCAGGGGAAAATGCATGTAAAATGTCACAGAGTGCCAGACTCACAGTGGTTGTTCAATGAGCAAATGGTAGCTCTTTTTATTATAAAAGCTTTTACTTTGATTGACTTTATGTGAGGAGGCTAAAGAGGTTTTTTTCAGTCAAGTTGCTAATCCTCACAATATAACTAACAGCACATTATGAAATATGAACTTTTTTTCAGAATTGGTATATTTAAGAAAGTAATAAAAAATAAGTAATTTTAGCTTAAAAAGAAGGCTTTTAGTGTGAATACATCCAAGTAGAACTATCATATGTTAGAATAGTGTACAATTATTAAAAGACATAAAATCAGGTTTAACTTGATAAAATACATAGGATATTGAATGAAGGGCCAAAAAAGCAAATAAAAGTATATACTTTATAAACACATCTATGTGAAACAACACAGAAAAAAGATACAAAGTAACTAATCCAAAATGCAAATAGTGACAGTAAGACTATAGGTAACTTTCTCTTCAGGACAATTTCAGTATCACTGTACTTTTTACAAGGTGCTGCTTCTAGAATCAAAACCATAGGTACTGCTGTTTCATTTATAAATGAATGTAACAGTTAGAGGTGTACGTGTAAGATACTACATATTCTGAAACTGGCCAGAGTGACTCCATTTCCTAACCAGTGTCACAAATACATCACCTCATATAACATTTTCATATAATTTCATTTGCTACCATATAAGGAGTGTCACTACAAGGAAAGATCTGAAAGCGCATTATATGACTTGTCTAAATAGGTGGCCATTGTTTGTGATGAAAAGTACCTTTGCCTTGTCTCTCATGGAACCTTTTCCAAGTATAGACATTTTTGTCAATGTTTCTTCTTGCAAACGTTTCAGAGAATTGCCACGTGGACCCAAAAGTTTCCCCACAAAGTTGAACTAGAAAAAACAAACAAAAAGAATTGGTAACATTCATATCTGAAAGCAGTCTATTAATCTTGGTATTAGGAAACACTGTAGAACATTACACATCATTGATTATAACAAATACTTAAGTTTCTGCTGTATCACATTGTAATGTTTTCCACAAACCACATAAACAGGGATTAAAAATTACAAGATAAAAAAATTGACATATTTCTTTATACCAGTCACTTCAATAATGGCTGTATTTCACAAACTATCTGAAGTTAATTTCAGAATTCCTAAGTTGCTATCCTGATCATTTCAACACCCATTCAGTATCAAATATGAACAGTGTAGGATTAGAACGTAGGTGAGGAAAAATGAATCTGGTTGCACTATAATGTACACTAGGCGCATTGTGAAGATCTGGGCTCTTCCACCGGCTCATCTCTTAAGCACTGGTCAGTCAACCAATGCGAGCAGTGGCCTAGGTGAGTGCTAAGCGCTCAATGGCTGACAAAAACCTTATGACAAAACCCATCTATCTCTTCTAAAATAACTAGCTGTGGGAAAGTGGACGACTCATGTACCCTAGATGCTTAGGGTTCTTTATTTAACAAGCACAGTAGGAGTGAATTAGTTACGGGTATGGACACGGGCTAGACTGCCATGTTTTTAAAACCTGACTTTTCTACTTACAGCTGAGTAACCCTGGGCAAGTCACCTGACCTCTGCATACCTTGGTTTCCTCATCTATGAAACGGGACTGATGAATAACATCGGGACCAACCCTCAGAGGGCTGCTCCGAGGATTAAGGAGGTTGTATACATAGATCATTTAGAACAATGCTTGGCACATAACACCCCCAATAAATACATCTTGAAGGAAAGAACTGTTACTAGAAATTTCACACGACTTGAAAAACTCTTACTATGATTAAGGTAAGTCATGAATTCTCCTTGCTCCCAAACAGAAAACCACATCTGCTCACCGAGAGAGGAGCTGGTCTAGTCACACTGCCTGGCGCCTGCTGCCCTCCTTCCTGACTGAGGCCACTCCTGTGCACTGCTTTTATGACAAAATTATTCCTCATTTTCCCCAACTATGGTAATAGTTAGAAGAGTAATTTTAGTGAATTTTAGTAATTTTAGTAAATTTAATCAACTTCAAATAGTTGAAATAATTATAAAAATATGTACTTTAAAAAAATCAACATGGTATTTTTCCTTGCCCACTTTTAATTTTATTGGTCTTCAATGAAAACTCAAGAATTTCTTTCTAACCTTCACATGAATGCAATTATTATTTTTTAATTTAACTTTAAGTAAATTACTTTAAAAAAATATGTAAGTGATACTTACAGAGTTTAAAATACCAAATAATACTGTACAGTGGGAAAGAAAATCACTGTCTCCACCCACCCACCCACCCACCCACCCCTACCCTTGTTCTCATTTCCCACTTTTTCTGCTTTATCTTTCTGGAAATTCTCTTACTTGTACACTGGACATCCTGAGTTCACTCTCTGAGTTTCTCTCTTATTTTTCCTCTCTTTCTCTTTCACTTTTTCTTTCTCTTTTACTTTCTGAGAGACAATTACGTTTCCTAGATATCTACTGATTTATTTTTCATTTCTGCTTTCAAATATTTAAGTACTAATAGTATCCTAATAGTATCTTCTTATATTTATTCTTTATTATGGCACCTTTTTAAGTATTTTATGGAAGCAACAGCAGTTGTTCTGAGGATGTTCACGGCGTTGCCCCCCAACCTTGGCGTTTGTACTGACTGCTTCCAACAGAAGCCCTTACGCCACACTTGGTGAAATGGTCTCTTTCTACATTATGGGCTTTCCTCAGATGACTGGTAATTCTCTGCTACCTGTCCTTAAAAATTTAAGATTGAGGCTCAAAAACACTATCTGTGTTCATACATGGGATCTGAGGGCTGGACTTGATCGTTCACTGTAATATGGCAGCCAAGTTCCTTCATCAGAAGCTTCGCAAATATCAGTACTGATGGCCCTTTCCTCTAGGGCAAGGCACTGCCCGGAGCAGAAATTCCCCAGTGTCCCAGGAGGGGGTACAGGCTTGGCTGCCCGAACACTGAGAATCCTGTCATGAAGTATGTGCACCTTAGTTAAAGGAAATCTCTCCCTAATTTTCAGGGCCGCATCTCACTGAAGTCCCCGGCTACATCGGAATCTTAGAGCTTAAAGCTTCTTTATTCAACCTCTTCAAGAAGTGTCCAGTGTGTTGCCAGGTTAAGAAGAGCAAATACCAGGTGTTGTCAGTGGGCAGAGCAGCCAGCGGGCTGACCTGTTCTCATACCAAACTTCCAACTGGGTCTCCTGTCCAGCTCCACCTTATGAGCCCACCGTCGCAGCGACTGGCACCCATAATGCCCGGCTCTTCTTGAGGCTTTCCCGCACTCATGAGCATGTTTCTGGCTGACTTTCTCTTACCCGGCAAGCTGAGGTTCCTGATATTTCTGGTCTCCAAAGTTATTAGCATTTATCCATTTATTTTGCCATCACCAAAACTTTACTAACATCATTTGCCTATTGTCTCACACTCCTATTCTTTCTAGATTTCTTCCTTTTTAACTTACTTATATTCATTTTAGCAAGTTTCAAGGAGAGCATAAAAATTAATTTGTGGTCAAATGGCCACATTTAGATCATGTCTTTAATAGTACATATTTCTCAATTAAAAATTACGGGACCTTAGAAATCATCCGGTCCAAACATCTGACTTCATACAGAGGAAACTGAAATCGACAGAATGGTAAGATTTTTTCAAGGTCATTTGATAAAACATAAAAACATAGGATTCTGTAAAAGAAGGAAAAGATTTTATAAGATTATAGGTGTCTTCAGGAGTTTTCTTTCTCCATTTAACCTCTATTTTTGTCTTTTCTTCACCCAAAAAAAAATGTAGACGAGTATTTCAGGCACGAGAGGCACCTTTACTTCATTCTCTGTCCAAATGCAGTGGCACCAGCCTCCCTGAGTCTCAGACTCCTCACAGGACACGGGGAGCAGACAACCTACTGCAGCACCTTCTGTCTGAATTAAATGAAAAATGTATGAAAATCACCCACCAGAGCAGCCCATACGTAGATTGTGCATAACATACTCCATGCCAAGTCAATAAGTAATAAATTGATTAATTTAACTGTTGTGGACATTTATGGTTGTATGTGAACAATGACCACGCTTCACTGAGCACTGATACCCCTTCACCCACGAGGCTATCAGGGGAGCCACCACACTGGGACAGAGTGACCGTGCCCAGGCCACCCAGGCATGTCAAGGAGCTGCCATCTGCCTGGAAGTCAAGGGAGTCTGGGTTTAGGCCTAAGCATGAGGACACTCAGCGTCGTTAGAGAGGAGTCACAACAGAGGCAATCTGCTTGGTTGCTGGCTTGGGTTCTCAAGCCCAAATTGCATCACCTCCCTGGGGGCATGAGGAAATAGCATGACTGGCTGTCATAATGACTGTGGGTCACTACTGTCACTTAGTGGGCAAAGTCCAAAAATGTCACATGGCAGAACTGGATGGGACTGCCCCTCAGAGTGGAGAAGGGTCTGTGTAAAATGTCAGTTGTGCCCCTGGTAAAAAGCACTGCTAGAAGGAGGGGCCACAGGCTGTAATTACTCTCTGTGTCTTAGACCTGAACCTCTTGTTACTGAAGGTCCTCCTCTTAGATCATAAATTCGGGTCCTCCATGGACTCTGTAAGATACCCTAATGTAGTTAACAAAGCAAAACGAAACATGAAGCAGCCACTTGTCAGGCTAGCTGCAGCCGGTGCTCACACGGGAAAAGGCCTGAGTAACTCTTTGGATGACATACAAAATAAGCACCTTAAGCAGCACGGTTCTCGTATTTGCCTCGAGTTCCGTGACGTCCTGACGCTCCACCTGCTGTGGACCCTGAAGGGCCACCTCTGGCTGGCGGGGTGATCACAGAGCTCCTCAGCCTTCCTGCCCTCAGCTTCGCCTAGTAACCACAGTCTGGCTTATGAGTCATTAACTAAGGCAGATGAAGTGCTGAGCACTGAGTTCTGTGCTCCAGAAACACTGTGAGGATCAAGAAATGCTCTTGCACTCCTGGAAATTACTCACTGCAAAGAAGAACTCTTTTTTTTCCCCTGTGACTTAGGTAAGACCTGCCATGACCCCTGTGACCTATGACAAGGCCAGACACAGACCCTGCAAATTGCCATTCTTTGCCCCATAAAAGATGAGCTGACGTGTTTGAGTCCACTGATGAATCAGAAGATGTCCCTAACACCAAGTTCATCGAACTTTAGTTGAGCTTCTCTTCCTTCCTCAGGCCCCTGAACAGTAGCAACCTACCCACCATATCTCCCGAAAGGCCTGTTTTCAGGAGCCAGCCTCATGTAAAACGTTCTCTGACCTACTGTCCCACCAGGCCTCCTGTACCCCTTCCCCCTCCTTCCCCACACCTCGCTGGTCTTCTTCGCTTTCCCCATAAAGGAAAAGCCCTTTGCAGTCCGACCTCCGGGACACCGACGGTCCTCATGCTCCGCCCTCCTCTTCACTACAGCAGTAAGTACCCTTTCCTGCCCCACAACAGGCTCCCAGAATCTTTCCGTATTAAGTCAGAATTTGTTTCTTATTGGACAACTGGATTTGCAAAACAGTAAGAATTTAATACATTTTAACTTTGTTTTTATTAATAATTTCATTTGTGAATAGACTTGAAGAGAAAGTCAAAGTGTTATTTCCAAGACTGATGATTTTTCTCCAAATGTCAATTATGATATTACAAACATATTATCATACAATGTTACAATTATAAAATTTTCAAATGATTATGAAGATGGTAAACCAACACAGAGTAAGTATATTGAGTCTCATTGCATAATATGTAAGGTCCAATAATTATGTTCTTTGTTGGTAAAGACCAAGTGCCTTTCTGAATCAGCTTTAATTGATCTAAACTATTTTTGTGATATGACACCATTCCTTGGGGAACAATTACAGTTAAGCTGTCATTTCACAA